CTTCTGAAGATGCTCTGTTGTGCACCAGAGGAAGCAATTTCTCTACTGGGTGTATATCCAAAAGACCAAAAATCACTTGGCAACAAAGATATTTGCACCAGATTGTTCATTGGAGCTCAATTCATAATTGCCATGTTATGGAAGAAACCCAAATGTCATTGACCCATGAACGGATTAATAAATTATGGTATATACATGCTATGGAATACTATGCAGCATTAAAAAGAGATGGGGACTTTACCTTTTTTTATGTTTACATGGATGGACCTGGAAAATATTCTTCTTAGTAAAGTATCTCAGGAATGGCAAAAATTTCCAGTGTACTTAGTACTACTATGAAACCAATTTATAATCACTCACACTTGCATATGAAAGATGAATCACAACTATAGCCCAGGATGAAGGAGGGAAAGGGAGAGGGATGGGGAAAGAGGGGAGTAGTTTGATAGAGGGAGGGTTAGTGGTGGGACCACACCTAAGGAGCACATTGTAAGGGTACAAGTCAAATCTATCAAGTAGAGAACACAAATGTCTTAACATTGTGATTAAGTGAATAAGATGAAAGCTACATTAATTAGTTGGATGTAAGCACTCCAATTTGTACAAGTAATCAACACATTGAATCCCACAAAGACATAAATGTATTCATGACCTATGTATATATGACTTAATAAAGGGGGGAAAAAAAGAGCCTGTATGTTATTGAATCAGACTGGGGAGCAATTTATGCCTCCAGGGCATTATAAAAAGAAGTAGATGATTCAGCCACAAATTTTTGAAGGCTAACAGCTAGACTAAGAGTTAAAAGCCAGAAAATGCTTCCTATAGCTTCTGTCTTCCCAGGTCATGTGAACACGCCCAAGGCTGCTCTCTCTGAGACAAAAATTAAAGGAACAATGTTTAAGGGAAGGAAACTTCATTAAAGTGATCCAGCTGATCACTAAACCAATAAATTTAAGGAAGAGATGATTCAAATTGGAAGGAGATCTACATAGAAGCTGTGTTATATAAAATGTAGAGTTTTAATAAGTTTGACAAGGAACATATAGAAACAGAAAATTGCAACCTCTACGTAAAGGATCATGTGCAATGATGTGAGGGCTGAGTTTACAAATTTAACAGGAAAAACCCTGAAAATAAACACTGTCAATATGTTCAAAGTCCTAAAGGTAACTGCACTTAAATAAGAAAAGGACGGTTCAATGACAGTGTCACATCCAGTAGAGGATGTGCAGGACAAGCTTGAAGCCATTGTTCAAAACAAGAACAAAATGAAAATTTTAGAGTGAAAATTATAGCAACTGAAGTAAAAATGCACTAACAAGATTCTGATTCACATTTGAATCCAAAGAAGTAAAAGCCTCCAAGCTTCATGACCATACAATAGAAATTATATAATCCCAAGAATAGAGGAGAAAAGAATGAAGGAAACAGACTGAGCCGTGATGGATGTTGGGACACACTTCACTGCAGCAATAAGTGTGAGCTGGACCAGTTAGGAGGGAAAGAGCAAGATAGGAGGAAAATATTCAAAACTAAGGCCTGAAGCTTCCATAAGCGGTAAGATCTCATCTGTATCCCAGCTGAATGGATTCTAAGTAAGACAAACACAGAAAGATCCAAATACAGACACATCATGCCAGGAGGCTGAAAGTTAAACAAAGAAAACAATGAAGCCCAAAGAAATGACCAACTCATCACATGCACAGAAACTCCAACAATGTCTACAGTTGACTTCTCATCAGAAACAACACTGCTCACATGAGGGCGGAGCAAGATGGTCAAACAGAACCCTCCAGTGACTGCCCTTCTGCATGAGCACCCAATTCAAATGCTGTCCACAGAAACAAGCCCCTCAGAAGCACAACAACCAGGTGAGTTATCATATTACTTGACTTTAACCTTGTATCAAGGAAAAGGCACTGAAGCGGGAGAAAAAGACAATTTTGATTTCCTACACCATCCCTCACATATCTGCCAGTGGTGCCTCCCATGCCGAGTACAGAGAATTGTGTCAGTGCCTGTGGAAGGGACATTTTGACCAGAAAAGCCACACAGAATTCCTCATCCTCCCTCAAGACTGAGTTCCTGTGAATCCCACAACCAGTGCAAAGAGTAGCTTGGGGTTCAGCTAAATTCATAAGGCAATATGGCCACAAGGGTTGCATCCTGTGGCAATTTCTGTGGATGTGCTGTCCTGGAGCTGGTGGACATCAGGTGCATGTGACCCACTGAGACAGCAGCTAGTGCATCAAAGCCAGGGAGTATGTTGCCCCTCCCCAGTTACTGTCACAGCCAACACAGCCAGGGAGTGTGTCACGCCTCCCGGTTACTATCACAGTCAACACAGCCAGAGAGTGTGTCACCCCCCATCCGGTTACTGTCACAGTCAACACAGCCAGGGAGTGTGTCACCCCTCACTATAACTGTTACAGTCAACACAGCCAGGGAATATATCTCCCCTCCCCAGTTACTGTTGCAGTCAACACAGCCAAAGAGAGCTTTTTTCTACTGAGGAAAGGAAAGGGAAGAGCTCAGAGGACTTTGTTTTACAACTTGCATAAAAGCTCAGCCACAGTAATGTGGCCTAGCCAGAATTTTTATTTGTAGATGCTATTTTTCAATAGAAGGAACATGTCTTCTTGGGAAAGTGATTGATATTACTCCAAGGTTAAGACAAAAGCACAAGATAAGCCCAAAATATATGTCAGAAAGTAAAAAAGTGCACAAAGTGATGGGAACATTCCGAAAAGATATAGAAGACAACTGAAAAGAGTCCCAATAAATCAAATATGGATCAACGTCCTCAAAAACAATGATGATAGTTATGAACTGTGACCTGTGGAATAAATCAAATACACATGAATCTATATTAAACAGAACCAAAGTAAATAAATAAATGCAGGAAAGGGATGTTCTTCCTTACAGTAGAATTCCTGTTAATGATTAGGAAGAAATGAAGGACATAGAAACCACCACTGGGCAAACGCCACAGTAATTTTGTGTCAGACAAGAGTCAAAGAACACTGAGGAGAAGTAACAACTAAATGCATTCATTTCCTGTGCAGATGTTACATCACACTCTTTGCCTCCCATTCATCAAAATGTTAGAGGGTCCTTCTCCAAAGAAATTGAAAGAAATTTTCCAAGGTAGAATAAAGTAACTGGAGTTCATGTAACCTGGAAAGTAAAATCTTCTTTATTCTGACATTTATGGATCCCTTTAGGTAATGTCTACAGTTAAGTACAAAAAAATCAAAGTCAACCAGTTATCAAGTCCTTCACAAATACAAAGATGTACTACGGAGTCATTTTAATCTTCATATTTTTTTTTTTTCCTGAAACAGCTTCTCTCTTTCTCTCTTTGTGACCTTCCTGGGCTGGTGCAGTGGCATCATCACCTCTCACCACCACCTCAGACTCCTGGGTTCAAGTGATCCTCCTGCCTCAGCCTCCCAAGGTGAGACTAGAGATGCATGACACCACACCAGGTAATATTTTTTTAAGAGACAGGGTCTCACTTTTGCTTGGGTTGGTCTTGAAGTCATCTTCTTGCCTCTGCCTTCCATAGTGTCAGGATTGCAGACATGAACCCTATGCCCAACCAAATTCCTTATTCTTAAGTATAAAAAGATAACCAACATTTGAGAAAAGCAAATAAAATAACAAGAGTAAACTAAAGATTAATAAACACTTGGGCAGGTACACACATATGCACCAGAATAAAGAGATACTCAACAAGCAAAAAGAATTTTTAAAAATAACAGCCATAACTTTGTAAGAAACCTCAGGGATAGTTAAAAGTATTTCATCCATCAAGAATAATATTCAGGAAAAGTGAAACAATAAGGGAAAATTTGAGAGCTCTTTCAGGGTCATCGCAGGTGTTTCCAGCCTGCTGTGCTCTCTGTCCTCCCCCATGGGTCTCTCACCTTCTGCACTAGGGCTTCTCTGACACTTCACATGGAACCCTGGACCTCACCCAGTGCTTCACATGGAACTCTGGACCTCACCCAGCGCTTCACAGGGAACCCTGGACCTCACCCAGTGCTCACTCACACACGCCTGATCCAGCAGTGTGAGAAACAGGCACTGCAGATACCTGTCCCCTTGCATCCATGCACCTCCCGCTGGCTCCTGGTGGGCCTGGGTCCCAGCAGCTCACAGCCATGACTGGTTGGTGACTCTGCTTTACTGACTTGCTCCCTCCTGTTTTACTTTTCCCTGTCCCCTACTCCTGGACCCTCAAGTCATTTCTCAAACTGTAGTGCTCTAATCCTCATCTCAGTCTCTGCTTTCTAAGGGAAAAACAGACTGTGGCAGCTTGTGCCTTAGGTGGCTCTAAAAAGAACCCTGGAAGTAGATAACTCACCGATAATTTGGAGAAGCAATCTGAAGCCAGTAATACACGAGAGGGGATAACTGTAGTATCCAGTGAGGTCACAATTGATCCAGCTTATGAGACTGAAGAGGGAAAGGGGAATTGAGGTTTGGTACAGCAAGAGGAGAAGCATTTGATTATGAACAGTAACAAACGAGGGTAGTTTATAGAGGAAGGTGACTGTTAACAGTTTTAGAGGCCTTGTAAAAAACAAAAGGAAGACTTAGTTTAAACAAATGACTAATCAAAATATGCAGTGAGTGTCATAATTTCTCCGCTGTAGTCTTTAATGAAACTTCTGCAGCAACAGAAAAGCAGGACTAGACTGTGGGCATGAGGGTAGCAGAGATGCAGGGACTGTTCCCACAGGCTCTGCAGTTGCTGTGTGGAGTCAGGGACTGGGAGAAGAAGAACAGGAGGCTAAGGATTTGGGTTAGAGAACAAGTGCACATTTATTCATATGCTATTTTAACTTATATGATTTTTACATTTTCCAGTTTTTAACAATGTTCAACATGTAATAATTTTATCTTTCTAATAGGAACTAAATCTCTGGAAATTCTGACTTGACCAGGTAAGTAGAGAAAGATGTTTTGTCCCAGGAGGAGGAGAATCTCCATAACGCCCCTCTTGCTGGCATTCACCTGGGGGACCCACAGGTGAAGATCCCAGCTTCAGTTCTGGGACCCAGCTAGTCCTGCTTCCCCTTCTTCCTCGGGGCAGCAAACTTCCGGTAGCAGAGCAGACAGCACTTTGTGAGGAGGAACATCACAGCTGCCCCGCAGGCCAGCAGGAAGCCAATCACGTCCAGGGAGTGGTACTGGGCCCAGCTGAGGTCATGGACTGCAGCCCGCAGGTGCTGGGCTCCTCCATGGCGCATGACGAACTCGATCCAGAAGACTGCTCGATCCAGGGGCTTCATTGGCTGGTCATGGTGAATTCCTGATAATTTCATAGCATTCTCCTTATAACTGAAAGGCAAAAACACTTATAAAAATTAGAAAGTTTGGTTTTTATTAAAAACAAGTAGGTAAAATATGGTATATGTGTGTTATTAAAGCCAAAATCTTGTTGCAAAAAATATTAATTCTTGTGGCATGAACTTTGTTGGTTGCATAGCATTTAACAGATATTTGTATAGGGTGAAGGCTGAAAAACATGTACACTTAACAAAGTGCATTGAAATGAAGACATGGAAGAAATCTTAGCAAGACAATTCTTTTTTTTTTTTGCAGTTTTTGTGTGGGGTCAGGGTTGAATCCACCACCTCTGGTATATGGGGCCAGTGCCCTGCTCCTTTAGCCACAGGTGCCGCCCAGCAAGACAATTCTTAATCTAAATCTTTTCTTTCCAAGGATGAAATTTGATACCATATGAACTATTCTACAACTAAGTTGGGTAAGATCCCTTGAAAAGCTTAGATGCATGGTCTCTAACATGGTATGATGCATACAGATAATGAAAGGTAGGTAAGCCTTTAAAAGCAGGAATACTTACTAAGGGTCATTAATGACTGTTCGCAAAGCCCTGAGCAAATCTGCACTCGTCATTGTGTTCAAGTTCACCTCCACGGCTGCACCTTTGGCCTTCATGCGAGCAATGTTATCAGGCTGATCACAAGATAGTGGAATTCCCACCATGGGGACCCCATGATAAATAGCTTCATAGACCCCATTCATTCCACCATGGGTGATGAAAGCTTTGGTTTTTGGATGACCTAGTTGAGAATTAAATGAAAAATTGGAGATTCTTATTATAAAGTGTGGAGGATGCCAAGAGCCAGATGACCTCTGAGCAAGATGATTCACAGCTCGGGGTTGGAGCCCTCTGGCCGTTCGTCCTCAGGTCTTCCTTATGGAGAAAGAACCTGAGCTTTCAGCACATAGTCATTTGTTAATTACTCCCCTCACCTGTGTTGTATGGTCCCAGTAAAATGTTCGTGCAGAGGTTGCTCTGGGCTACCCTGCAAAGAAGGGCTAGCCCACCTACTACAAGCTTGTACTTCTAATCCTGCATCACAACTGGTTCCTTCCTGCTGTGATCCAGACCAGGGCCATAGGGGCCCAAGGGGTTGTGACAATAAAGTGTGAAAAGAAATCCAGGGCCTTAGGGGAAGACACTGAGATGAGTCAGAGAAGGCAGCAGCATTATCCATAAAGATGAGCACATAGGTCACTGCTACCAAAGACATTAGTCCTCACTGAATTGTATGCAAATTTTGCCTAAACAATAGAAAATGTGAATCTATAAAATAAGTGGTCAATTCTTTAATTGTATCTAGTATAAAATTGGAGGTAAAAGGAAATACATCTACAACAATTAAATGTTTGTTGAATATACTAGCTGTCCAACAGTGATTCAGTTTGTCCCTCTTCCAAATGCTGTTGTCACTGTCTTATAGTCTCACCGAGAAGGTCATTCTGGGGTATCCAATCATAGAGCTGAGTATTGGCTCCTAATGTGGCTGGCTTCTTCCCTTTGTGTCGCCACAAAACCTGTAGAAGAAAATATATGTATTTCACAAGTTAAACAACAGAATAATAGCATTAGTGAGTTTTGTCTAAAGTAATCCAATAAAAAGTAAAAGACCTTTTAGATCAGTGGTTCTCAACCTTCCTAATAGCATGACCCTTTAATACAGTTCCTCATTTTGTGGTGACCCTCCAACCATAAAATTATTTTCAGTGCTACTTCACAACTGTAATTTTGCTACTGTTATGAATCATAATGTAAATATCTGATATGAAGGATGTGTTTTCCAAGGGTCCAAAGGGGTCACAACCCACAGGTTGAGAACTGCTGCTTCAGATATTTCATACACCACTATCTGAAGAGTGGAAACATAGAGTTGTAGTAAACACAAAGTTAAAGTTAATTGAGTATCATAAATTATAACATACAGATTGTTACATGAAAATATTCAAATTGTAATAGACTTTTAGCTCCAGAAAACTCTAATTCATTAGAAAGAATACACAGGCTCAGGGCCTATAGCTCAGTGGCTCGGGCACCAGACACATACACCAGAGATGGGGGGTTCTAATCCAAAGAAAGGACATAAATCTAAACTTCTACTCCTATTCCTAACCGTACTAGATAAAATTCTGATACAAACAAATATGTATCAGAACACTGGAGAATGTTCTAGAACACAATTCCTCTCTATCCTCTCTATCTTTGCTGTATTAGTATCCCCATTGGGGGGGGAGGGGGCAGTTCTTAGAGCTAAGACTGTTTTGGACATTTCCTCGAGTAATCAGCACAGGTCCTAAAATTTCAAATCCTAAAATCTGAGGTGAGAACTCTGTGTTTCATTTCTATTAGAGACAAATGTTGAAAAGTGAGTTGTTTTCATAGCAACAGCAAGGCTCAGTAGGCTAATGATAAATTGCACCCAAATACCCTATTATAATGTTTTGTAAAATGTTTACCTAACACTGATTTTTACCTAACCTGTCATCCTAAATGGAAAATGAGATTCAAGTTCAGATGGAACTCACACTTCTTCCAGAGTTTGAATAGCCACCTGTCAGAACTGGAGGTTGTACTGACCTTCTGTGGAATCTGGGCCAAGGCTGAAGCAATGAGATTACTTTTTTCTTCTGTAAGATTTTGGACAATTGACCCCAGAGAAAACACCACAATACCAT